TTAATCTCGATTCCTAACATGACGAATTATTTATTTGGCATGGCGCGTGTGGTGTGACTTGCATATGACGAGCCTTCGTGTACTCAGATATGTGACTTTTCTTAATATAGTAGCATATTGGACTGAAAACTTATTTGGGCCCAACTGTGGACTTTTTTGGGCCTCAACACCTGTTTCATGGCTGATTCCACTGGCCACGACAGTGGATCAAGGCTGGGACTAGTCGGGAATCGAAGAGGGAAGTGAGACGATTCTAATGGGACCGGTGCTGCCAAGAACGGAGGCGTGTGGTGGCAGTGGTGGAGGAGAGAAGTAGGCTGGTCATGGAGCTTCTGAGGAGGAAGAAGAAAATCTGGGTTTTAAAACTGAACTTTGAAATATTTACGGTTATGCCACTAAACTTCTTTTGATCCTAACTTCTTCGTTACAACTAAGGACTCATCTAGATGTGTTCTACACAACGGTACAACTAGAATCCCCAGATTCCTTCCCGAACAAAAAGTCATGTTTTAAACCATTAAAATATTTTTGGGGTAAATTCGTCTTTTACTTGAATAAATTAATAATTAAATATTAATTTAGGATCGGGTTGTTACAAGGTAAGTTGGTTATAATTTTATGACTGGTAGGGGTAGTTGGCCTTTAAGTGATCGGTCATCAGACAAGCATATTTGGGCTCCCGGAAAACGTTTGCGAAAGTTGTGTAAGCATACCAACTGTTTTCGGATCCTACATTTATATGGAAAATGGTTTGTGCTGTGCATATTCTCCACTATTTTTCTTGAAACTACTATGTTATTTTGCTATCTATTTTCAAACCTAGCAAGGAGCTCCCCTACTGGGCAGATGAATGTATGTGATGCTCACCCCTACTTTTCCATGTAGATTACAATCCTTGAGCGTCACTTTCTTGAACCTATCAACACATTTGGTTCATGTACCTCATCATCTCTGGCAGGTCATGATTTCCTTTCATAAGAGCCGAGGATGCTTCTTGTTCATTTCCTCCCTTTATATAAATTCTGGATGGTTGGCGTGTATTTAAATGTTATGGTTTGTAAAATAACTTTCGAAGGTTACTCGTACTCTTCCTTAACCTCTGGGTTGGTTTCTCATCAATAAAGTTTGTACAATGTTTTATTCATTTCTCCGTTGTTATTTACAATTATAATCCAACTCGTTTTACTTAATTAAAAAGCTTAGCGTATTTTGGGAATCTTGGGAGTATAACCCTCGTATCTAGGTGGTATATTTTCGGAATTCTCAAGGTATGTACCGTTGGCATGGGTCTCAATGTTGGGGAGTGACAAATATAATTGGAGGCCCTAGATTTCAGGATTGAAGTCCAACAACTGAAGAGTCAAACTCAATCAAACAAGAGGGTTGCTGAGAAATGAAACATTGGAAAGAAAAAAAAAAGTAATAGTAAGAGCATCTTTAACAGCCTCTTCAACAAATTTGGAATGCTCAAATAGATGAGCCACATCATCAAAACTCTCTCCAACAGTCTTGTCAAACTCAGTCGTCAAAGATTCAACCTCTTCCTTTCTCTTCAGGATTGGTAAGTTGACATTGACTCTTCAAAATATTTATTTTGCTTTAGAAAAATCAAAGTTATATGCAAAATCCTAAAAACATTTATTTTGCTTGCTGGGTTTCCCTCATGACGATGTACATGTGGTTTTCAGTTTTAATATTTCATTTAATTAAAATTTCGTGTCTTCTCTTTTTTTCCATATTAGATAAATTTCTTACTATCTTGGTTGCCAGAATCACGTTTGCTTGCAACTTTACGTTTCAAGATCAAGTTCTTCGTTTTTAAAACCCCATATCAGACCTTATCATGTCGTTGTTCAACCTAGTTCTTTTACCAACAGTGAAGGCATTGGATTGCAATACTTCTTAATTATATATCTTCCAAATGGAATATCCATATTTTTCAACTCAATAATTTTCAAGTTCTCAACCTTTTACTACCCAACCATCTACTTCAGTCGCTCAATCTGATTCGAATAAAAAAAAAGAAAAAGTGGTAAGAGTTTTAAAATAAAGGAGGATATTCTTCTTTTGTCATCTTGGCTTAATATTGTTTTTAATTATTTTAGTTTTTATATTTTTTCTAGAATGTTATTAATAATTACTTTTACTGCATTAATTTAATGAAAGAGTCTGTTGGGGCATAAAATATTTAAGTAGACTTTTCAAATTGCTACATAGGTCACCAAACTTCAATTTGAAGAATTTAGTTTGCTACTACTATTGGAAGTGCTCTAATAATTGAAAAATTAAAAAAGCGGTGGTGCTTTTGTGGTGTTGGGAGTTGTGACTTTCTTATGTGGGAAATGGAAGTGGGAATGGAAAAGGGTATGACATTGGCATGGATACCAACATCGTCATCAATGGTTATTTATTATAAAATAAATCATACATGAATGAACCGAAAGTGCATTGTTGAAACTCATCTTCATTCTTGAACCAAAGTTGCATCATGAAAAATAAGCTCTATACTTGAACCGGAGGTGTCGTAATGGGCTTTTGATAGAGGTGGCATAACTAAGAGAGGAGTTTTTATCAAAAATTGTCAACATTTACCCCCCACTTTTAAAATTGTCATTTTTTTATATATAAATTCTTTCAAATATAGCCAAAAACTCACCTAAATAGACACAAATGCGCTTAAAAATTAAACCCACATAAACTTAAAAAGTTCAAATATATTTTGAGTTCCAGTTATTGATATTGTTTCCCTCTTTTCGGCCGGGGCGGCCGACGAAAGGAACTTTTGGTCATTCTTCTTTTGAGTGCGGGCGTGCCACCACCAAGCCCTGAATTTGGGCTTGAATGGAATGTGAATAGATGGATGTGCTGCGCTTCTAACTTCTGACTAAACGATTGATCGGCCAAGCAAAGAACCTCCTCTTGGCCTAGATTCTTTCACTTCCTCGGGCTCGAGGATGATTAGGTTTCGTACGGATGTTTTTGTGATTTTTAGGGTTTTAAGTAAAAATAATGCAATTAAACTAAATATGTGTATAAACGTAAAAACAAGAATTGAAGTGCAATAAAATAAATCAAAGCGATAAATAAAGCAAGAACGAAATAAAAGTGATAAGAACGATAAAATGAAATAAACTTGAATTTAAACTTAATTGAAGTGCAATAACAATGAAAATTAAAGCAATAGAAATAAACTTGAATTTAAATGACAAGAAATATAAACTTACACTAGAAAGAGGAAGAACTCACTACACTAGATGCTTGAAAAATAAAATCCTAAGTCTAGGAAAAGAAAAAGTGCGAGACGAAAGATAAGTTTGTTTGTCTGATGTTGTGTGTCTAATGTCTTCATCGAGCAAGGTTTATATAGGACACTCGTCAGCTCATGAGCTGGTCATTGAATGGCCAAATGTCAACTCTTTTAAAACTTCTTTCCTTCCAAGGCCCCCCTAAATCCGTAGGATTGCATTGATTGAAATATTTTGACATGCTTGATTTTTCCTTGCTTTGGAACACTCGGAGTTACTATAAAAAAAATCCCTTGATTTCTTTCCTTGTGAGGCCTCCGTCATGTGCACATAATCCTCCAGAAATCTGGACGTGAATAGGTAGCTTAAACTTGGGCCTTCAATTTCTCTTGTATTGCCACCCATATAATATATATTAAACTTCAGATTATCTCATATATATACATATATATATATATTATTATATATGTATATAAGCACAAAAAATAGGACAAGGCAGCTTGAGCTGCCGGGTATACATACATACATATATATATATATATATATATATATATATATATACAGAGAGCTTCCATTGAGGGATCCCTCAAATAAGCTTATTTGAGGGACACCCCTTGTAGGCCCCACTATGGATTGTATTTCACTAATCCAAACCGTCTATTTTGTAGATACTCATTCAAAGATCATCTCTACAAAAAATCACTTGAATCCGATATCATTTGACCACTCAATTGAGTTATTGAAATTTTAGTACTTTCTTGAAGCACCGTGTTCATTGATTTTGTAAGACACAATTGGATGTTGAAACGATTTCCGATTTGTCTAATTTTTTGTAAGGATGATCTATGAATGAAGACCTAAAAAATATATGGTTTGGATCATTGGAAAAAAAATTGTAGGGTACTCTAAAGGGCGTCCCTCAAATAAAATTATTTGAGGGATCCCTCAATAGAAGGGGACTGTATATATATATATATATATATATATATATATATATAAGACAAATAGTTCTTTGCAACAAACTTTAGCCCAACTTTGAAGACTAACCAAAGTCTTCAAACGAACTTGCCCAGCCGCGACACTTGCAATAATCCAAAGACCTCCACTTGCATATATATATATATATATATATATTTTCTCCAATTCCGGCCGAGATTTCCAACTCCACTCGAACTGCCCGGCCGTACCTGGCTGCCCAGCTACAAATCCAGCCGCCTAATTATCCGGCCATAGCCTTGCAGAGGGATTCGACCGCAATATTCATATTTAGCTCCAAATCCTGTCAGCCGCAAAAACCCCAAGCTCTTAGCAGACCCAGTCGCGTTTTCGAAAGCCCAGGGACTCCGAAACCTTGCTGCCCAGTTTCACTCGTGCCCAGCTAATTCTCGTGCCCGGGTTAGGTGGATTTCTACCACCCCTAAACATATATATACTTGGTATCTTACTAAAGATCGAGACTTTGAAGAAAATTGATGCGTGAACTCGTAGGTGCCGAACAAAACCCTCATCTCACAGGCGCCCATCCTCTCTGATTGAGTCCAGTCCCACATTGGCCAAATAAAAGTTCACCAACCAAAAAATTAAGGCATTCACCAACCAGAAATAAAGCCTAAATATTAAATATTTATAACCCCCACAATAAATAAAATAAAAAAGTCAAAATAATTAAATAAATAAAACGGTTAAATTTTTAAAACCTTTTTCTTTTTTTTTTCGGTTACAAGGCAGGCTGAAGCCAGAAAAGAAAAAAAAAGCTTAACAAGGCACAGCCCTACTTTGGGCTCTTCCTATTTCATCATCCAGTAGAAAGCTTGAGAGGGAGATAGGAGCATATTCATAGATATGAAGCCCCAAGGGTAACTCATACCCCAAGTTAGCAAGGTGATCAGTTGCTCTGTTTTGCTCCTTGTAGATGTGAGAGACATTGCATCTCCAATTACGTTTAAGTAACAACTTGCAGTCTTCAATCAGACAAAAGAGAGGATGTGCATGGTTACAAGCCTGAGCAATCAGAGAGACAACAGACAAGGAATCACATTCAATATCAAGGGACCTAATGCCCTTGTCCCAAGCCTATGCAAACCTCTAAAGAGACTCCATAGCTCAGCCTCATAAATATTTCCAATCCCAATATTGGCAGAGAACCCACAGATCCATGCTCCATTAGAGTCCCTTAGCAAACCACCAGCACAAATCTTCCAAGAATCAGTTTTACAGCTGCCATCCACATTCAATTTGAAATTGCTAAGGGTAGGAAGACTCCAACGGACTTGGATGACCTCTCTAGTAGGCTTAGCATTGACCACATTATTGGCATCAAGCCATTCACTAGAAAATTGCAGAATAGTGTGAGGGGGGTTGGGAGGAGGCTCATAGCCAGGGTTAAAGATAGAGTTACATCTCCATTTCCAACAATGCCAAATAGAGGCCGTAAAAACAAGTGTCCAAGGAAGGTTGCCAGAGAGCATAATCTTGCTCTTCAGGTTGATTCTTAGCCAATCAGTAAAGCCTAAGGAGAAAGAGTGAAGAACATCAAAGGGAACCTTTATGAAATTCCGTATCTTAAGAGCAAAACTACATCCTCTAAAAACATGATCCATAGTCTCAGGAAGAGAAAGGCATTTGTGGCAGTTAGGATTAGTTGTCATCAATCTCTTCTCCCTTTGAACATTAGTAAGAATTTTGCCATGCCCAATTAGCCAAACAAAGGTTTTTAACTTTGGGGGCAAGCACAGCTTCCAGATAAAGTCCCAAGGCCAAGGCACAATATCTGCACCATCAAAGAAGGAAAGGTAAGCAGATTTAACAGAAAAAGAGCCATTATTTGATAAACCCCATATGCATTTATCATTTCTTTGAGACTCAAATCCAGTATGGATAGCACAAATCCTTTGCACAATTTCCGTAGGTAAGACCTGCTCAAGAGCATCAAGATTCCATCCATGGTCAGACATAAAATCTCGCACTGTCCATAACAGCATGTCTTCAGAGAGGGGAATAGCGGAAAATTCCTCAAGCAAGCCACAACCCGCCCAGTTATCCTTCCAAAAACCAATTCCATGATGCATCATTTTTTGAATCCCCAACTCTGAATGCAACATGGTATGTTTGGTTATTTCCGTCCTTCCATGTGGAAGCAAACAATGTCCCACAATATTTACCTTTTAAAAATGTTTCATCAAGTGCAATTACTATCCTGATAATAGTGCGAAATCCTCTTATGCAAGGTCCAAGTGACATGAAAAAAATACATAAAATGATTATTACTGCCAGTTTCAATATGAGTTATTGTACCAGGATTTTTGGCTTCTAACATAGCACAATATGATGGAAGTATCGCATAAGATTCCTCTGGTGATCCCCTAACCAACTCCAGTGCATATTTCCTAGCTCTCCAAGCCTTCACATAACTTATAATATACTCACACCCATGTCCTTTCGCATATCCTCCATGATGTCGTGGGGTCTATGTACTCGTGATACACCCTCGTACTTAGATTTTATGCATTGACCAATAAGAGAACTACTTGCCTGTCGATGATGGCGATGAATAGCATCCAATGAGCATGAGTGTTTTGTAAAATATTTTTTTACCATGAAATATGAGGATTTTCTTACCTTGGATGCATGCAATTTCCACATGCATCAGTCATCGACACAACCAACTTCAACTTCAAGCGTTAGGAATTTATGCTATGATAAGGTTGAATAAAGTGGAATAAAATAAAGTAAGTTTAACAGAAGAGTTAGGAATTTATCCCCATAAACTTCTTATCAACAAATTCTTTATTTATTCAGTAGGATAGATAGTTTCGTAATTGGCTGTAAAACACAATTTGGCTAATAGAAAATCCTAGAATTAAAACAAAGATGTAATGAGAGAGAGAAAGAAAAGCAAACTTGGTATTACGGATCGATAAGTTGAATTAGGGAGTGTTGGAATTGCTTCAAATTCCCATTTAAAAAAAAACAAGATATTCCTCCCACGTCCTCTGTAGGAAACCCAGAACTCACGCTACACCATCAGAACACAGCAAAACTGATGAATTTCAATTTCTTGTTCCTACCAACCCAAAGAAACGAAGAAACAATTAAAAGAAAGAAGTGTTGGAATTTTAAAAAGGTTTTAAAAATGTAACTGTTTGATTTATTTAATTATTTTGACTATTTTATTTTATTTATTGTAGGGGTTATAAATATTTAATTTTCAGATTTTATTTCTATATTGAATGCCTTTATTTTCTAGTTTAATATGGTGAAGGTTACATGTTATTAGATGCTTATAAAAGACCACTCCTCCTTCATATTTGAAAAACTACAATACATCATCAGAATATCACATACCACAATCACCACCACAATATGATTCTCTCCTATTCTACTTTTTATATAATTTCTCTACTTATATTATTATTTTGGGCAATGGTTATGTGACTTGGATACCTATATCTGTTTATAAACATGCTCATAGAGGATCTTGAGTTTGTGTACAAGAGGTCATATCTTGGACTCTTGTAGACCGCCAATACCTGCATGTAGGGAGGCTACAAAGGCTTTAGGACAGCGTCTTTGACGTGCTTTACCGTACCAAACTCACCTTCTTACTTATTATTTATTTTGCTTTTACTTACATATTAATTTGTTTTTCTTCAGTTTCATTGTACCTTAATAGCTTTCCAATTTGTTTATATGTTATTTATAATATAAAGGTTTTTGTATTTGACTTTACAAAAAGAAGAAAACTACAATTTTTATAACAAGAAGCAACTGCACGAATAAGCACAAAATATACATAAAGAAAAAGAATAACATCACTCACCAGTAGTTCGACGAAGGCTACAGACATGCGTGTGATTCCAAACTTTGTGTAGTAGAGTTTTGCTTTTTAGGTTTACGTGGGTTTTAATTTTTGAGGGCATTTGTGTCTATTTAAGTGAGTTTTTTATTATTATATTTGAAAGATTTTATAAAAATTGACATTTTTGAAAATGGTGGGTAAATTTTGGCTATTTTTGATAAAAACTCTTAAGAAAGGGGGTTTTGTTTTGTGAAAATAATTTGAAACCTGGTGTTAGTGTATTTTTTTAAACAAAGTGTTAGCATAAAGAACTCTAATAATAATTGAAAATTAATAAATCAAAAAAATTAAAAAAAGAAAAGGGAAGAAGCGGCGGTGCTGTTGTGGTTTTGTAAGTTGTTAATTTCTTGTGTGGGAAGTGGAAGTGGGAATGGGAAAGGGGAGTAGCAGGCGGGTGAGGGCGTTCAAGCGGTGGATGAAGCGGGAAGGGATCGAATGCAGCGACGCCCTGGACTTGAGGGACGAAGGAGTCGAAATCGGAATCAGCGTGAGAGCCCTAGCCCACCTCAAGGAAGGGGACGTGGTGGCCAGAATACCAAAGCTCACGTGCCTCACCACCAGAACCACCGCCGCACGTGACATTATCGCAGCCGCCGCCGCCGCCGGTGAGGGCGAGGAGGAGTCTTGTTTAGGAGGGTTAGCAGGGCTGGCGGTGGCGCTGATGTACGAGAGGAGCTTGGGAGAGCGTTCACGGTGGGCCCCATACCTTGAGCTGTTGAGCAAAGAAGAAGAGTCGTTGCCTTTGGTTTGGAGCGCCGACGAGGTTGAGCGGCTGCTGGCAGGGACAGAGCTAGAGGGAACGGTCAAGGAAGACAAAGGTGTTATGTGGAAGGAGTGGAAGGAGAGCATTGAGCCCACGATACTACTGCAAATGCATCCTTTGGATGCGGCCGCCGTTGAATTCGACCCGAGCTTCTTCGGATTCGGAGACTACTTGGCGGCGAGGACGCTGATATCTTCTCGCTCTTTTCAGATTGATGAATACCACGGAGTGGGAATGGTTCCTTTGGCTGACCTGTAAGTCTTATACAAACCCTGCTCCTTCTCTTGACTTCTTGTTGTGATGCTTTGTTTATATCACTATCAATCACTGAAATGGATGGATGATAGATTTTATTATTTATTATTGTTTTAATGTTCTTTTGTACTTTGTCTAAATCCGTAATCATAAGTTTTTTGGGTGCTGTTATTCATTCAATTCAATTCAATGTAGGTTTAATCATAAAACGGGAGCTGAGGATGTGCACTTAATGACCTCTCCTCACAAAAGTGAATCCAACACCACCCAAGAAAACAATGAATCTGATACTACTAGTACTAGTATTAGTGCCATTCATGATGATGATATGTCTGCTTCTATTACTGTTGACGAGGGTGAGGATGACGATAGTGGAGGTGAGGGTGACAATGGTGATGGTGACGATAGTGAGGGTGGTGATGATGATGACAATGATGATTATGGTGAAGGTGACGGTGATGGTGATGGTGATGGTGATGACAGTGATGATGATGATTTGGAAATGACTATGGTGAAAGATGTCAAACTGGGAGCTGAGGTTTGGACTCTCTTTTTTCATATTTCATTTTATTTATTTATAAAAATTATAACTAAAACAAAAGGCAGCAATCCAATAACTCTCTTGGTTTTTATTTTCTGATGCATGCTATAACTATTGAATTTCCTGTCTCTAGCCTCTGCTGCAAAATTTAAATATCAATTTCTCATAGGCTAGACCTATGAGAAGATGCCATTACTGGAACTATGCCTTTCCTCTTCTTGTTTCAGTACTATATATAAGCAATGGGCGCTTTTCTTGTTCATCTTCTTTCAGTACAAGTGTGAAATCCATGGGTAAACTTTTTTGGTTCTTTTATACTTTTCCTTTTCTTCTCTTCTCAGGTCTTTAATACATACGGGTCATTGGGTAATGCTGCACTGCTTCACAGATATGGATTTACAGAGCCAGATAATCCGTATGACATTGTCAATATCGACTTGGAACTGATACTCCAGTGGAGTTCATCCTTGTTTTCTGGCCAGCATCGTAGAGCAAGGCTGTCCCTCTGGAAAAGATTGGATTGCTCTGGATGTGTCACGCACAACTCTGAATATTTTGAGGTTTCATTTAATGGAGAACCTGAAATTGAGATGTTGGTTTTATTGTACATAATGTTGTTACCACATGATGCATATTATAAGATGGATCTTGCTCTAGCAACTGCAGGAAGTTCCAGTGAACCCATGGACATCATTTTTTCCGATAAAAGCAAAAAATCATGCCACAAAACTGGACTATTGAGTGAGGACCTGTTGCTGACAAAATCTCTTTGTAATGCTCTTTTGTCCCTTGCAGATATGCGGGACAGCCTTTATGGTACAAATTCAATAGAAGATGATATAGAAGCATTGGGCAGGTGTTGTTGCTTAAGTGACAAAAAGTTGTACCATTCTTTGATGCTTCGTATCAGTGAGAGGAGGATCCTTCAGAAGCTTAAAATGTATGCTGCTAAAGAAACCTCTGTAAGGAAGAAGTTGAAAAGAAAATGAGTTTAGGACACTCACTAAATTATCATCCATGGCTTTTCTTTTTCCACTGCCTGTTTTCAAGCACTGGCTATGACTTCCTCGCCTGATGAAGGTATGTAAGCCACAAGAGAGATTCTTTTTGTTGAGACTGTGACCATAGAGACCATTGTGAAGCAACTTGGCAGCATGTAGGCATTGTTTAGAGTGATTCTTTTTGTTAAGATTGTGACCATAGATACCATTATGAAGCAACTTGGCAGGATGTAGGCAGTGTTTGCCTTCATAACTGATGATTATAGCGTTTTTGCATGTCCAGCAGCACATTCTGCATTTTTCTAAATTACTTTTGCTGGTAGGAAACCCTAGACAAATTCGGTTTTGTGGCATTATTGTAGACCATTTTTCAATCTCCATCACAGCAAATGCCTCACAGGATAACCTTTCATGATAAAGATTTGTCTGAGAGTTTGCATTTTATTTTGTTCTTGTTAATTTTATTAGTACAAATTGTTTTCAGTTCTTATAGCACGTTTCTTAATATTTCTGTTGTGACAATTTGCAAATATATTTATCTTTTGGGTTATGCTGGACTGCCTTGATATAATAATTTTAGGATTTTTTTATGTGTAGCCTCTTTTGCGAATGGAATTGATGGGGAGAAACATAAATTATGATTGTTCAACAGCTTATTGGCGTAGGCTCTATATCTTTGAGCTAGTGGTGTTATATCAACAATGTCATCGACAGATCGGTTCAGTGAGGTCGGGGAAACTGTGCCAGGCAGGAATTGGAATTGAGCTTGTTAGAATACCCAAACTCGGTCATTTGCTGAGGGCCTCATTTATCTACACTAGCCTCTTCACAGTAGGGTCGATAAGTGTTATTTGGATCCAATATACTCATGAGACCACAAATCTCCCCCCGCCCCCCCTAAAAAAAAAGCTCAGTGCCACCCCGGATCCCTATGCTGTAGAAGAGAATAAAATCTCAAAATAATAATCTCTACCTCTACCCTTCTATGATTTTATCTTCATTTCAGTAGATTACAAAGGGTAGTGTTAAACGAACCTTAAAATTAACCAATTACACCCTACTATAAAATTACTTAATTGAATTACTAATTTATCCTAATATAAAATATGACCAAAAAAGATATATTGAATTGTGAAACAAATGTAACCCTATTCACCATATTCAATCCTAATTCAACTTCACCCAATCTCATGGTATTATTAATTTAGGGAGAAGTAACCCCAACATCCCCTGCAGCCCTCTGCACTTATAAGGTGATGCATCGATGAAAACCACCTATGTTTGTCATTCTTACTCCATTTCCATACACAATGTGAAACCTCCTATTTCTGTTTGTGCTAATCCCATTACCAAGAGTACTGTTGGTTCCTTTTTTCCTCATTCCTCCAGGTCGATTCTTTTGGGAACGGAGCAGGAGAGAGGAAGAGGCGAGGTCAACACCAATGTTCTGATTGGATCTCTTGCTCGTGAGAGGACCAGTTTAATTTCAGATAAAACTGAAAGTTGGATCAGGTTGAGAAAAGTGGGTGAGCACAAGTTAGGCCTTTGATGGTTTGCTTCTTCTGGCCCGATCGTAAGTTGCGTAGGCGTGCCACTATTTGGGATGAGACCAGCCCAATAGACCTGGTGTATGTGATGTAGAATGTTTTGTTTGATGGATTTGTGCTTGTTCTGGACCTCTAATCAAGACATTGTGCTCCAAGGGGGGTACTGGCTCAGATGAGTTCTTTTTTATGCCTCAGCTAAGAGGACTTCAATATTCTTTCAATCGTGCGTCTATGGCTTGGTAAATGCGAATAGCACCTAGCCAAACAGAAAAACCAATGTTGAAGTCAATGCTCCCTTAATTGGGCTCAGGAACCTAATTTGAGCCTGAAATAACCATGGATTGGGTTAGGATTTGGTTAATTCGGCCCAATTGTATGATTTGGGCCTGGGCCAACCATTGTTTTTGGTCTAATGAAGCCCTATTCGAACCTAGAACCCTTGTTTTTGGGCTAATGAAGCCCTATTCAAAAGATTCAAATATAAAAATGCAGGAAAGTAAACTACTGCAAAGTAAGATACAAAAAAGATAACTGGCAGGAATATAAAGTATGATTAAGGTAGATTGCAGGGAGAATAAAATTCCAGAAGCCGGAGATTTCTCTATCCAGCTCCGGCATGATAACAAGTTAAAACGAAAGCCAAAGATTTCTCCATTTAGCTGTTTTTAAAGAACAAGTTACAATATTGAAGAGATTGGAGATTTCTCTTATCCAATATGTAAAGGTTTCAGCTGTTTAGAATGGAACTAGACTGACTATTTAAACAAGAATCATACCATGGAGATGGCAAAGCAATAAAAGATAAACACATGAGTTGTCAACTAGTTATCTGGGCAGCAAGTTGGCTATTTGAAGATCTTGAAGTTTTGTTCAAGTGTTTACAAGAAGTTGAGTCTGATTTTGGAGAAAGTCCCTGAGTGTTGCTATTGAGCCTCTATATTTATGGGTAGAAAATCTTTAACGATGGCAGTGAAGGCTGGAAGATAACACTTGAGTGTTGTCCAAAGTCAGCTGCGTATTTTTCCTCGTGAGTCGGTCCATGGGTAGGAGAAAAGATATCTTAGATGGAAACACTAGTTTCAAGGAATACCCCTTTGATTTGTCATCCATTCGCACCTGGAAAACTAGTCAGAAGATGGTTCCTCTTGGTTTTGGTGTTAATTAGCCAGCCTTTTTTGCTGAGAGAGATGGTGATCAAGTCATTCTTAATGGTGAAAAATCCGTCTTCAGAAAGTCACGTGGGTCAACTGGTAACGATTACTTATTTTCCTAACTTTAGTGTGGGTTAAAGCTGGGGCTTTTCGCGATATGGGCTTTTGAGGGGATTTCACCAATTTATGGCCCAAATACGGAAAAGCCCTTTTTTTGTTAATTTTGAAAGAAAGGAACTAGGCTGGGCCTCATGTGACTTCATTTGAAAAATAAAACAAATTTGGTCCATTTTCCAAGTATGGTACAAACCAGTACACACAAAAAATTCTAGGACAGATCATGGAATTTCTTATAAAGCTATACAAAGAAGTAAATGTTTCATTTCATCCATAGTCTGGTTATGAGTTGGAATTGCTTTCACTTTCCATTCTGTACTTGCGGCCATAGTTCACAGTAAATGGCATAAACAATGATAATATACTAAGTTTGAAACAAAATGCATAAAATATGACAACTAGCACATCAAACTCACATCAGGAACAACAATTTGATCTGTATGTGTGTTCTCAATCAGCCGGGCATTTGAGAAGCTTCGGTTTCTAGTGCTTGTAATGAACTGTGGCTGCTCAGAATTCGAACTCGTCAGAGTCATCTCTTGAATGGTTTTGGTTTGTGTGATAGTGTATTAGAGTATACTATGAGTATTTTTGATAGTTAAATAGGATGTACTTAATTAATTTTACGATTTGTTATAAATATTAAGGTGTACTTAGATCATATAATGTGCGAAAGTTGTGTAAAGTTGTGTGATAGTGTATTAGAGTATACCATGAGTATTTTTGTTATAAATATGCGGAGTTTAAACTTAAAACCACGTTGGCTTTTCTTTTTTTAATTAATCAACAACTTTATTTGTACTCTCTTTTTATTTTTTTCAGAGAACTTATTTATACTCTTACGTATGTTAACTGTAAATTCGAAGAATAATTGAAAAACCTCTATGCATTAAAGATAGTAGAACTGGACCTAACTGAACTGATTGCGGTTTGGTAGAAAAACAAACTTTTTTTAGCATAAATCGAACCGAACCACTCATACATTAATGATTCAACTAAGGACTTACCCTTTATTTACTGTAAATAATGTACAGTGATTATATATATATATATTATATCCTAATGATATATCATACAGTTGGGTTTTAGGACATCCTACTTTTCAACATTATCCTCCACTTTATTATATGAATTGGATACAGATGTTTATAGTTGCTGATACAAAACCTGATCATACAACATGCTCTAAAGTGTTCATAGAAAATCTCACTTCCTGAAGTCCAAACACCAACGACTTCACATGACGGCACAAAAACATGCTCTAAGGTCTACTAGCGAGCCTTGATATGAGGGTAGAGTCCCAAAATGTGCTCTGGCATGAAGTCATGCCGTGTTAGAATTCCAACAATTGGAGGTCTCTGCAATGTGTACAGAAAAACATCAGAAAGTTGCTTATAAATTAGTTTCGGACATTTATTTGGAACTGTTATTGAACTTTATAAGGTAAGGAAGATTGGAGACAAAATCATCTAGAGTTTCCAAGAGTAAATAAAGAGAAATATACCAAAGCAGATGCAAACAGTGGCCTATTTAACTTGAACTAGAACAAAACAAAAAAAAGAGGAAAGGAAATGTTGAGATTTCTTCTCCAGGATAAGGTATAGTGCTTAAATTTCCGCCAAGATTAGCAGCCTTATTCACATGCTAGAACTAACCATACACAGAAAGAAAGAGAGCAGGAGAAAGGGAAGGGGAGAACAACTTACCCCTTGGCTCTTTGGTACCAAACACAGGTGTCTTAGACCAAGTTGCCGAAAGAGAATAGCAGCTTTGGCTAGTGACATTGTCTCAACGACTGTGTACGGCGATGCATTTGTAATAGGATGGAGATCAACATACATATCCATCTCCTCCTCTTCGATATCAAGATCCTCCAATTTGATTCCCTTTCCTGATCCTGCCTTAGCGAAATCAAATGCAGCAAATCTGCGTAAGATCTCTGCTCCACAAACAACCCTGTCCGTTGAAAAAATCTTACCCTTAAGCAAAATAAGCAAATGAGACCTTAAAACCAGACCAGACAATTCTGGAGCGTCTGAAAAAGGTGGTTCATCAATCACTGGAAATCCGTTATGCCCTGTAGTCCTCAAAGCATCCAATATGCGTCCTACCTTCTCAATACCAGAAAAAGTAACCAATGGACCAGAAACAACATCACTTGTGACCAAATGCCTCATGTATGGTTCTGCATGAGCCTCCAAATAAGGCAATCCCTTTATTTTAACTATTTGGTCATAAATACCCTTGTTGAAGTTATCAGCTACAGTTTTCGAAATAAGGAGAACCAACATGACGAGGGGAAGCAAAAGTAAGTCATTGGTGAGTTCAAGCAGTATAACGCATAGGGAGACTGTCATTCTCATAGTGCCAGCCAGGAAGGAGGCAGCTCCAAGTAGGGCAAAGAGACCTGTGTCAAGAGTAGAGATTGATTCAAACAACCTCCCAACAAGACGTCCATAGCAAGCTCCAGCTAATATGACAGGGATGAAGAGCCCAGAGGGAATAGCAATGCCGTAAGTGATAATTCCAAGGAAGTAAATGGCGGCAAAGAAGATGAAAAGAGAGGAAATGTGAAATTCTTTTGTTGTACTGGTGCTGAATAGATTACGAATGGCATCATCATTAGTGTTTAGAAATAGGGAGGCAAGGTCATTGTAATAGCCTGATGGGCAATTGAAGCTTTTATAGTTACCAGATTGACCAACAGTAGGACAACTCACACTCTCATCAGTAGGGCATGCTTGGCACTCCGCAAACCATGGTAAGCCATAAGAAAGACATGATGTCAAGAGAGCAATGGTGATAACAAGTAAGATTTTGGCCGCAGCACCCTTTCTGCAGCAAAAGAAAAGCCAGATAAATTTAGGAGGAAAGCATGCGAACTTGGTTAAAAACAACAAAACCAGCGCAACTGAGCAAATGATTATGATCAAAATCTCAGATGCCTTATCACTGCACCTAAATAAGGTCATGTTCTCAGTCGTGATAGAAAGAATGGGATCAGTATTTTTAGCACATGACCAACAAATTTAGAGGAGATTATTTTACAAGTGAAAAATCCCAGAAGTCACAATTGTGTAGGAGAACATACTCATGAATGATGCTATAAGTTCGAATGACCTTATCCACAAGATAGTTATATATGCTTCCAAAAATTCCTCCAAGAATTCCTAGGAATAATACTGCTAGTATATCAGGACTACTGTATGTTGCACTGGCTGCACTGACATCATACATGATAAGACCTCCTTGCCCAAATAGCCCACAGTTTCCAGTAGTACAAAATTGTATGAAGACTCTCAATACTATGGCGACAACTGCTGTTGTGAAAAATGTCCTCCAAAGAAGAGCACTCCGCCACCTGAAGTTTTCCAGTAAAGACAACACGTATTCTCAGAACCTATGTGTTACACATTCCACGCACCAATAATCATGGTACTGAAACCATTTTGCAATCTCAAGGGAATACCTTGCAAGCAAGGATTCTAAGAGTTTCATTTATATTTCTGGTGAGTAAAGAATTTAGTATTATTCTAAGATATCTTTCTATCATGAAAATTGGAAATAAGATCAAAGTGAGATCTAAATACAATCCTACCCTTCAACTTTTCATAATAATTGCCTGTGCAGGAGAATTAAACCTGTCTGCTTCTACTTAGTTTACCATTTCACCAGACAAGGGTTGCCTCTCAGGACGGTAATCCCTACATAACCAGGGCGCTTACCATTTCATTCAAATTTCTATATCTTAAAACACTGTAACCCTAAATTTATAATACAATTGTGGTAAGAATAAAACATTAACAGTTTCTACATAATTTGCGTAACATACCAGTTATGCAGGTAAAATCCACAACATTGACCATGATAATGTAACCATCGTCTCTGTTTTCACAGGGACAGAAAAAGGAATATGCGAGTTCATTTTTTAAGCCCTTAACGTTCTTTAATGCATCGTGTGTTCAGAATGGATATCACTTCAACCACTTATATAGGAAACATATACGAGCAACTAACTTAGCAGTCTAAATTCCTGGTTACATATCAAATTCCAGCAAGCTTGCTGAAGCATGGACAGTAAAACACTACAAAATAATAGAAAAGAGAGAAAATGTGATGGGAACAAACTGAAGTAATTTGACATGGGCAAAAATATGGAAACTAGACTTGTTTACTTGGTTTTTATTATTAATATTTTAGTAGATTTATGATTACTATTATTTCCTCATCATAGTGTGATAGGAATTGGGGCAAAACTGTTTTACAGTTTTGGTTAGTCAGTTAGCCGCATGTCAAGTTTTAGTTGGGAATTTGTTAAAAATTACTGTTGTAACCTCGTCGGTGGCTTTATACCAATTGGGGAGCCATTGTACGATTATGTTGAGAAATATACAGAAATACTTCTTGGTCAATTCCTAAGGTTGAAAGATAGAGTCTTATCATAGTGGGAATTTATTAGTTAACTGTCTATACAAATAGATGTCTCTTGCAAAGGAATTTCAGCTTTGCCTATTGATTCAAATGAAAAACTTTACCTAATTTTCTCTCCGTGTTCAGAGAGAGAGAGAGAGAGAGAGAGAGAGGTACCATGAAGCTGCCTCTTCAAGAGCAAACAGAACACCACCAACTGGGGCACGAAATGCAGCAGCTACACCAGCAGCAGCACCACATGTGATCAAGTCTCGTCGGTCGCGATCGTTTTTGAAGTATCTTAGCCATGACCAAGTTAGATGATACTTGCGAGAGCCTCCCTGCCCAAGAAAAGAGGCTATGCAAGCACCTGTATGTACCATAGGCCCTTCTTTACCAACCACAAATCCGGCAGAAACACCAAGAATGGAACCAAAAATCTGTCAAACCCAGAATGATATGCATCAGATAGAAATTCAAAGATTTAGATTTAGGTTTATTAAAGAAAAAATTAATTAGGTAATCTCTGACAATTCAGAATTTTGAGGATGCGCAACATAAACAAAAGCAAAATACCTTTTGAGCAAAATATGTCAAAAGAGCAAATAACACATAGAAGAGAGACATATATTGTAATAAGGTATTGTATTTGGTGCACAATAATACAATAGATGGAAGCACGGCGTCTCTAACTATCTAGCCCTTTCCACCTCAATAGGGTGCCAATCCAACCCTTCCACACTCCGCCTTTCCCCTCATTCCTTTGAGTAAAGTCTCTTGAAAAAGTTAAATATTTCTTCCTCAATCCTCCTCTCATTGTCGGTGAAAGATCCATCACTCAGTTCCAACCTTCCTATAAAATTTCCCTCTTTCTCCCATTTACCACTTCATGAAACAGTTTGGCATTACGTCTCTTTCCCAATCCACTTTTCCTTTTGCCCCCACACTATCTCTTCCTTAAAAACAAGTTCTTCAAATTTTAGCCTTAATCTTGCCCTCTCCCATCTTCTCACTTCCCACATTTTCTCTCTCCTTCCTCCGACAAACCTAAACTTCTTCTTTTTTTCCTTTCCATTTCCATATCCTTTTTCGTTTTCCTTTTCACATGCAAACGAGGAAAGAACAT